CCCATCCACCCATTGCGGTGAAGTCGATCACGATTCATAGCGACCCTATAGGACAGAATAGAACTGCCCCATAGGGTTTCCAAGGCTGTAATCTTTACAGGAGCAGACTGCCATATCTTTCTCCTATGGAGCGGCTTGTGGGTTCGAACTGCCAAACTTCCGGTTAGCAGACAAGTGCTTAACCACTGCGCCACCAGGGCTCTTCCCATTAGTCATTAAGGAAATACAAATCAAAACCATAATGAGGTACCACTTCACACTCACTAGGATGGCTATTATCAGAAAAAGGCAAAATAATTGCTGGTGAGAGTGTGGAGAAATTGGAATCTTCATTCACTGATGGTGGAAATGCAAAATCATTCAGCCACTGTTGTAAACAGTTTGGTTCCTCAAAAAGTTAAACATAGAATTACCACAATGTTGTTGTTGTGCACTGTCAAGTCAATTCCGACTCATAGCAATCCTATTGTATAGAATAGTACTCCATCATAGGGTTTCCTAGGCTGTAATCTTTATTGTAGCAGATCACCAGGTCTTTTCTCTTGCAGAGCCACTGGTGGGTTTGAACTGCCAGCCTTTCGGTTAGCAGTCAAGTGCTTAACGGCCAAACCTCCCTCAGAATTACCATATCACCCAGCAATTCTACTCTTAGTTATATATCCAAATGAATTAAAAATATGTAGTCAAATAAATATATGTACACACATGTTCATAGCAGCATTATTCTCAATAGCCCAAAAGTAGAAACAACGCAAATGTCCATCAGTGAATGAATGCACAAACAAATTGTAGTATATGCATACAATGGAATATTATTCAGCCATAAAAAGGAATGAAATACTGATATATGTTACAACTGGATGAACCTTGAAAACATTATGCTAAGTGAAAGAAGCTAGACACAAAAGGTCACATATTTGATGATCCCATCTATATGAAATATCCAGATTAGGTAATCCAGAGAGACAGAAAGCAGATTGGTGGTCACCAGAGTATAGGGAGAGGACCATGGGGATTAACTGCTGAATGAGTGTGAGGTTTTGTTTTATAGTGATGAAAATGCTTTGAGACTAGATAGAGGTTGTGATTGCACAACACTGTAAATGTATTAAACGCCACTGAATTGTTCACTTTAAAATGGTTAATTTTATTTCATGTGAATTTCATCTCAATAAAAAAAAAGTGTACCTTGAAAACATAATGCTAAGTGAAAGAATAAGTCCCGATAAGCCACATATTACACAATTCCATTTATATGAAATGTTCAGATTAGGCAAAACTGTAGAGAAACAAAGCAGATTAGTGGTTGCCATGAATAGGAATCCATTCAAGGGCAACTTGTTTGATTTTTCTTTTTAGGTGGGTGGGAGAAAGTGGTGAGTGACTGCTAATGAGTATGGATTCCTTTTCAGAGTGATGAAAATGTTCTACAATTGATGTGGTGATGGTTACACAGCTCTGTGAATATACTACAAACCAATGAAATGTACATTTTAAATGAGTAAATTGTGTAACATATGAATTATATATCAATAGAAGTGTTGCATAAAAACAAATAAACAAAACCAAAAACTACTACAATATTAATTGTTCTTCACTGGATAGTCTTGGATTCTCCACACCATTTAAACTTTGCAGTAATGAACACTAGATAAAAAGTTCTGATGTTGGTCTAACCTTTGTATAATGTAAATAGATGACATACTGACTCCTACCTTTCGTGTTTCTTTTAGCAATCCCTATATTTCTTCTATTTATATATGTATACCAGCACTGAATTACTATTGCTATTTTATAATCTAGCACCAAAACCAAATTACATTGCCGTAGACTCAATTCCAACTCATAGCGACCATACAGCACAGAGTAGAACTGCCCCATAGGGTTTCCAAGGAGCAGCTGGTAGATTCAAACTGCCAACCTTTTGGTTAGCAGCCAAACACTTAACCACAGGGCTCCAGTAGATGAACAGTGAATAGTATTCCATTAAGTATGGCTGTATGACTATCAAGGAGCCCTGGTGGCAAGTGATTAAGCAATCAACTGCTAACCGGAAGGTCAGCCATTCGAACTCACCACCTTCTCCAAAGGAGAAAGATGTGGCAGTCTGCTTTCATAAAAATTACAGCCTTGGAAACCCTATAGGGCAGTTCTACTCTCTCCGTTAAGGTTGCTAGGAGTCAGAATCGACTCTATGGCAACTGATTCAACAGGTATGATCATTATGTCGTGTACTGCCCTGTTCTCGTAATCAAGCCCTCCCCATCCTAGATTTGTGAATTTTTCTTTTTATGGAAGATGAAGAGTGAGAGTTGGTGTACTGTCTATTTTAATTTTGCCCACAGATCTTATCTTGCATTTACCTTTACCGTTGGGTACTTTTGTTGGATTTGTCTTTCACAGAATTAAAAACTCTTATTTGGGAATAATTTAAAAAGTTGTTCCATATAACTTCTCCCAGTAAGGTTATAAGTAAATATTAATACATTTATCCAACAAATAATTATTAAGTACTTAGTGAACAGCGTGAGCTTTGGCAACTACCATCAAACATGGGAAGAGCAAGCTACCAAGGAAAGTAAAGGAATTTAAAAATTGAGAAAGCATCATAGTAATACTTCTTAAAATCCCAAAGTGACTAAAAATTAGGTCAAGGCCTGGCAATCTACATTAAAAAAAAAAATCAGCCTTTGAAAACTCTGTGGAGCATAGTTCTACTCACACACACATGGGGTCGCCATGAATCTGAGTCAACTCGACTTGAAGGCAACTAGTGTTTTTATTTTTTTTAATTTTTTAATTTTTTGCTTTGTTTTCTTAGAGCATTGCCATAGGAAGCTCTTCACTAAAAGATGAGCCCCTGAGCCTCACCGCTAGAGGGAAGTAGGCTATCTAAGGTATCTATTTTTAGATACAAGCTTCTTGAAACATTTCTGACTCCTTCTAAGTAAAGGAGTTCATACATTCAGTCACAAGAGGAAGCTGTTAGAGCTGCAAAACTAAGTTCCTTCCAAGGGGAGGGAGAGATTGTCACTGAGTTGTGCAATGAACTTACTTTCATCCTTTTTTCATTGCGTTGTAATTTATAGCCTTTCGCTGAGTATGTGCACAGCTTCAAGGGCAGGGGAGCCTTAAGCCCTTTCCCAAACACAGAGCAGAGCGCTGACCCGGCATGGGAAGAAATGAGGAGAGAAGTGATCAATGAGCAGTTCAATTTTAAATAGCCAGGTATTTGTTGCCATAGTGGAGTGACAAGCTTAGCTATTGTAGTGGAGAAAAATGAGTAATTTTAATTTTATTCCACTCTGTTTATTTAATAACCACTTTTGAGAATAACCAGAGAAAACTCTTCGTGTTTATTTCCACTTATTTTGTAAAAATCTTTTGTATAAATCTTCTCTTCCTGTCTTTTCCTTCTCTTCCTTTCTCCTTAGTATTCTCAAAACATACCATCCCTAGACATGGATATGGAGTTGAGAAAATATGAGTTAAAGAGGGGCTCAAATGGGATAAGAATAAGTGCCATTGAACCCATTCTTTCTTGCCTCAAGAAAATAATTAAGACGTAATTCCAGGAGTCAGTGTGGGAGATCTGACTACCAGCCGACTTGGCCTGGGGTCTAACTCTCTCTTTTCTTGTCACACTGAGCACAGCAATATTATACAATTATGAAATTAGTTCTGTGATATATGTTGCAAATATTTTCTTCCACAGGGCCATTTTATTTTTAACTTTGCTTAACGTAATTTTTTTTCCAGAAAGAAATTTCTAACTTTTGAATTTAAATTATATATTACTGCTTCTAACATTTACTTGCTCTGGTTGGTAATGTGGCTAGAAATTGTCTTCCTCCTATTACAGTACAGGGCTCAAAATAGATATCTTGGATTAAAGGACATTTCCTATCAGCTCAATGGAGCATCAAACCACCAGTTAGTGGTGGTTGTTGCCTTTATCATAAATAACCAGTTGCTTTAAAGTTGATTCCATCTCAGGGCAACCCTATGTGTGTAGGAGTAGAACTGTGCTCCACAGTGTTTTCAATGGCTGATTTTTTGGAAGTACATCGCAAGGCCTTTCTTGGGAGGCAACTCTGGGTGAACTCAAACCTCCAACTTTTAGGTTAGCTGCAGAGTGCATTAACCATTTGCGCCACTCACCGACTCCTACCACGAGTAAGGAATGGATAATTTCCTTGTGAATGGTTTTACTCATTCAGACACAGCCTATTTAAGTTTGAATCTTGAAAATGATTTCCTTTTAAGCCCTCTGTATTAGGGCTGGCCACTGGCTAAATAATCTTAGCCTTAAATTTAAGACTTTGGGGGATGGGGCGGGGCAGACCCAACCAAAAGACTTCTCTGTCTTTGGTTGACACTTGGCTGGGGAACACCCAAAGTGAAAGCCGCCTTGTGGGGATTGTGCTGGTGGTGGCTGCTTGCTTTGTTGCTTGGGACCTCCCCCAGCCTAGAATCAGACAGAGAGCCTTAGCTCTGGGACCTAGAACCCCAGTTTCCACTTGAACTATGAGGTTGGTGACAGGAATGGCTGTTCTCCTAACTTTGGGTAAGTGCTCTAGGATGACTTGTGGCTGAAGGACACAGGAGAGGTATCTACCATTTCCACTTCTACCACTGTGCTTTGCCAAATTGCTGGAAAGCTTGCGTCTATGTGTTTCTCTTGGAAGTCTGGCATCTGTATGAGGGGCTGGTCTTACATGAAGAGAGCTAAATTTCACAGCTCTCAGGCTGTAAGGAGCTTTGGGTTCATTGATATCAAGGACCATGGAAGGTGGGAAATTTATCTTTGGCCTCGTAGCTCTGAATAGCACAGTGATAAATACCAGAAATATTTTTCTCATCCTGTGCATCACACACAAAAATACTAGCATATGGGGTGAGGGCAGAGAGTAAAGTTCAGGAAGTGCTTTAGTTCCTGAACTTTAGATGTACCCTAATTTAATAACCAAGAGATAATCTGTTGTTTCTCAACCCCCCAGGTGTTACTGGTGATGCTAAAACCACACAGCCAAATTCAATGGAGAGTACTGAAGGAGAACCCGTAAACTTGCCTTGTAACCACTCTGCAATCAGTGGAAATGAGTACATATATTGGTATTGACAGATTCCCCACCAGGGTCCAGAGTACTTGATTCATGGCTTAAATAACAACCAGACCAATGAAATGGCCTCTCTGACCATCCCTACTGGCAGAAAGTCCAGTACCCTGATCCTCCCACACGTTACTCTGAGAGACACAGCTGTGTACTACTGCATGGTGAGAGACACACAGTGGCTCTAATGGGGCTACACCTGTGCATTATCTCCCTGGTGGGGGAGGGGAAGCAGTAGAGCCATCTAAGAGACTGCTGCACAAGAATTACAGAAGCTCAATCGAAGAAGAAAAGTAAGGGAGAAAAAGGAAATGAAAGGAGAGTGAGGAAATGAAGGAGAAGGAGACTATGAAAGAGATGAAAACGGTGATGACGAAGATTTTTTGTTATAGAAGGGACTGAGAAGCTTGAGAAGAGACTAAGAATCACAACTGTAATCCTGCAATAAAGAGAAAAGGAAATGAGAATATGTCAAGGCTCTTGGTTTTAATCAAATATTGCTTTCTGTTTAGGTCTCAGTTAAAAAAAGGTGAGAACAACCATTTGGTTTTCCCAAAGGTTTTCTTCATTTGGACTCACGGAAATGCCCAGGCTCGCTTGCATCATTTTAGTACTTCCAAACTCTCTAAAATGGAAATGAAGTTCAGAAATGGATTCATTTTCCCTTGAGAAAAATTTAAAATTTTCATTTTGCACACACATGCAATTGGAATATAGATCATTTTTGGAAGGAAGCAAAAAAAGGACAGATACGTGAATATTAATTTCATTTTAAAAATTTATGCTAAAATATTTTTCATGATACACAAATTTTTTCTCCTTTACTCTCCCTACCTCCACATCATTTCCTCCTTTGCCCCTAGAATAATCCATTTTGACAGTTTGGGGTGTATCTTGACAATCACACTTGTTTTCATTTATATGGATACTAATATAAATATCTACTCAATTGTCTTACATAAATTGGATTGTGCCATGTGTATTTTTTTGTAATTGTTTTTATTTTTTCACTTAAAATATTTCTTGGAAATGTGCTTATATTGATATATATGAATTGACTTCAATCTTTTCTATATGTGCAGAAAACTTCATAGTTTTAAAATATTTTAACTCCTCACTTATTAATAATATTTAAAAGGTTTACTCCTCTTAGTTATAATAATCAATGTGTCTTTCAACATTATATAGCTAGATATAGATAGATAGATTTCTTATAGATTACTGAAATGGAATTACTGACTCAAAGGATATGCCTATTTTACATTTTTTTACATATCTTGGTTAAGACTATTATCAGTCTTTTTAGATTTTAGATAACTTGAATGTATTTCATTGCTATTTTCATTTGCATTTTCCTAAATACTGGTGCAGGGGAATAACTTTCCTATCATGTGTTGGCCCTTTATGATTCCACTTTTGTAGCATGTTTAATAATACTATTTAATCAGTTCCTTTAAGATTGTTTATCTTTTTTCTTGTTTATTTGTGAAAATTATTTTAATAAAATAAACATTATTTTTCCTGTAATATATAATACACATACTTTCCCATATTACAGTGTATCCTTTAAATTTGTTTATTCAACTTTTATTGGTGATTTTTTAAATTTTTATAGAGTAAATGTAAGACTTCTAAGGAAGTCTTTCCTCATTGTAAGTTGATAAACCTAAACTCATACATTTCTTGCAATCATTAAATATTTAGTTAGCCAGCCTGAGCATGGAGAGTGAGTATTTTGAAAATACACAGCTATATTGTTGGACCTTTGTCATATTTTCTTAACATTTTTGGAACATGATGATACCATTACTCCTACCATCCAGGGAGTATTTCCAAGGTATGAGGTGAACCATGTCAATAATAATGGTAATGATAATAACTAAAGTAATTTTAACACATTACTTAGCTGGCAAACTCTTAGTTAAGGTCTTTAAATACGTCAGTTTAGAATCCTCACAGCACCTTGAGAAATAGGAATTATTATCAATCCATGTTAAAAATGAGAAGCCCAGTTCTCAAAAATTTAAATAAATAGCCCATAATCTCCTTTCAGGTTAGAAATAATCGTTCTCTGTAACTTTTCTGCATTCAGTAACAAGAAGAAAATTCCAACATAATCAATACAAATCAATAACAAAGGAGCATACAGGAATAGACCGCAGGACCCAACCCAGCCGGTGTTACACACCTTAGAGCAAAATATCAGGAAAGTTACAGCGTAGGAAAAACAAGGTCTGAGTTGAGAAAAATCAGTGCCCATTAATCTTATAGAGTAGTGCTGTCTAATAGAAATATGGGAGTCACGTATGTAATTTTAAATTTTCTAATAGATGTATTAAAAAATTAAAAGCAACAGGTAAAATTAATTTTAATACTATAATTTATTTAACCAATTATTTCTAAAATATTATTATTTAAACATGTAATTGATAATTAATAATAGGATAGTTTACAATCTTTTATCATACTAAGTCTGAAATTCCAGTGTGTGTTTCACACTTACAGCTCATCTCAATTTGGATGCTAAATTTTTAACACAGCGAACTATAGTCCTGTCAAAACAATACAGTCTTGTTTAATGAAAAAGTATTTTACACTGACTTACTTTTACAATTTGTATGTAAATTAAATTAAAATTTAGTTAGTCACATTAGTCATATTTTAATTACTCAATAGCCACATATGACTAGTGGCTATGGTATTGGAGAGTGCAGCTATACCGAGCGAATGCTATGCCAGCGCTAGCCGAGGAGCGGCACAGGGCAAACACAAAATCCACTACCGGAGACCCCACCCCAAAGCACGTGGAAGCTGAACAAGAGCAAAGTGCTTCTGGGCAGCATCCTGGAGGAAGAGGGCCTGCGGGAGGGATGGGGATAGCCGCGGCTGCCGCCAAGAAGGTGCAAAGAGCGTTTTCGAGGTTGGAAAGAAGTGACATCTCTTTAATAGGGATGATGAACAGCATCTACTTGAAAAATGTAAATCTCCCAAGTCTAAAGAACTAACTTACTGTTAAAAGAATAGTTGAAGACAGAGAAGAAATCTGGATTTTGGGCCAATTTGGTTTTGAAACAGAATAACCCATTGCCGTGTAGTCGATTTTGACTTATAGCGACCGGATAGGACAGAGTAAAATTGGCCCATAGGGTTTCCAAGGAGAAGCTGGTGGATTCAAACTGCCGACCTTTTGGTTAGCAGTAGCTCTTAACCACTGTGCCACCAGGGCTAAAAAGCCAGATGAGATTGAAGGTTGAGAGCCTCCAAAAATTGCTCTTGAAGATGTAGCAGCTGATTCAAGCAACACCATGAGAGACCATTTGTCTTGGCCAGGCTGGGAAGACGATACTGAACATTGTACTAAGTATATTACCCTGGCCAGCTAAGGAAATAGCTCCAGATGCAGCATCAAGTCATCGGGAAAGTTGATTCAGTATTAGACTGCAAAGCAAAGGTAATCTTACCGATAACTGGGAAGAATTAGAGTTATAGTTGTCATGGATTGAATTGTGTCCCTCCAAAATATGTGTATCTATTTGGCTAAGCCAAGATTCCCAGTATTGTGTGATAGTCCACCATTTTGTCATCTGATGTGATTTTCCTATGTGTTGCAAATCCTATCTCCAGGATGTTGATGACATGGGATTAGAGACAGTTATGTTCATGAGGCAGGGCTCAATCTACGAGATTGGATTGTGTCTTGAGCCAATTTCTTTTGAGATATGAAAGAAAGAAGTGAGCAGAGAGACAGGGGGACCTCATACCACCAAGAAAGCAGCACCAGGACTAGACTGCGTCCTTTGGACCTGGGGTTCTTGTAGCGAGAAGCTCCTAGACCAGGAGAAAATTGATGACAAAGAACTTCCTCCAGAGCCAAAAGAGAGAGAAAGACTTCCCCTGGAGCTGGTTCCCTGAATTCAGACTTCTAGCCTTTTTGTTAAAGCCATCCACTTGTATTTCTGTTATAGCAGCACTAGATAACTAAGACAATAGTGTAAAAGGAAATACTAGATAAAAGAAAAAGTCCACTATTTCCATATATTTTGAAATCAAAATTTGCCTAATATTGCACCTTTGTATTTCATGTTATTAAAAGTCTTAAAGTTTGCTGTATAATGGTGTTTTTTTTTTTCAGTTAGTGTATATCATTAAGTTGTTTAGTCTGTTTCTCACATTAAAGAGTAGAGAATCTACTCTTTGCCTATATTTGACAATTGGATTTTTATTTTCATATGTAGAATTGTGAAATTCCCGAGCATACTACGATTCCTTAATGAATAATTTACAGAGGTTGTACATTTGATTGCCTTATTGTAGAAATTTCCATTTCTTATAATTCATATTTTGCTGGAACTGGAGATGGGAATTTTTGAGGCTGTCCTATAGTAGTAATGGTTTGCATTTGCCACAAAACAATTTTCATGCCATTCTTAGTTGTAGTTCTTTAATTGTTTTAGAATTTACATACCTTTTTCTTGCATGCAACATATACGAACAGTCTATGAAACACAAGAATGTAGCAGTTATGTGATTCTCTTCTGTTGTCAGAAAATTGCTGTCCAGGTGGTAAAATGACTCTTCCAAAGGTTAATGTTAAATTGTTTAATTTAGCAAATTAAAATTTTTCCTCTTTAAATTAAAAATATGTAAACAAATACCAGAAAAGCAAAGGTTATATTTTAGTATAGAAATGTCAATATTTAAAAACGTATATTCATCTGTTGCCTTGGAAGGACTAGCCTCTAGTGTACATTGTAATGTTTTGATATTTTATTTTTACTTCTCCTGAACTTTTAAATATTGACTTTTCTTTTCTTCTAAATATTTGCTTTCTTTTTTTGGTTACAGATGAAGAATGCAGTAAAGTATGGATAAATTTTAGAAACTTGATATTCTTAAATTTGTTTGGGAAACATTAACTTGCTAACTATAGAATGCAAACTGTGTATAAAATGACTAGAAGTGCCTCTTTTCTATTATACCCAAGTATTTGTTTTTTAAAAATGAGATATTTATTGTGATTGATGGTAGGTCTGTAAGACATTGTATTTTTTTTTTCCACGCAAGAAT